AAGAAATTGGAGCTGTCACCCTTTTCTGGGATATTTTTCAATTATGTTCCTAATATTCGAATTTTCTTTTAATATTGGTATGCTTTTGTCAGATGTATACAGCAAAATGATATAAATAAAAGACAAGGTTCCCATCATTCTTTAAAAAATGGAAGGCTTAAAAACTTAACCGTTACACTACATTCGTTTGTAAAATTCGTAGTTCCATTGGCAAAGAATCTTTTAATTTAGCATTACTTTTTTATTGTTTTTAATTTTTATATTATAAAAATTTGCTGAGAATCAACAATCCGCCACTGATTGACTACGTTTGTCTATATGCAATTACATTTATGTTTGTGTGTATGATATGCAATTCATTTTTAGAATACTGTGAATACAAATTAGTTCTGTTTTTATATTATTATTCTTTGGTATAATCTCAAGGGAAATTTATTTGTCTCAAAATCTAAATTCAATGTAAACTTATACATTTATACATACATATGAAGTAAAATAGTACCTATAATATTATGAGGGTGTGGTAAAAGTAAAAGAAATTTATTTTATTGTAAGTTGATATTACGGTTATTATTACTTGCTTTTACTGTTATACTATATAAATTTTATTCTGCTTTTTTACCGATGCTATTTTTTTCAATTTTTTTTTTCTATTTTGTGGTTATATCCTTCATTGAAATACCTATTTTGTATTTAGAATTTTTCTAAAAAGTGATAATGTTATACATATACATAGGTTAGAGATATAGATCAGATAAAATGGAATTTTATAGGAATTAAAAAAAAAAAGGAAGCAAAAACAATCTCAATAAACAAAATGGGAGAAAGTATGATAACAAAAAATTAATATTTAACTAAATTTTCTTTGCTATTTTGTTTAACTTCTTCTCTTCCTATCATACTGAATAAATTACACAAATAAAATTTAATAAATTTCTTTTTTTGTAGTTTTTTAAGAATAGTTGCATTTCTATTTTCAGTTTTACATTATAGTTACTATAAAATTTAATGAAAACTTAAATATTAACTTTAAAATTTTAGTATTAGACTTTTACAATGTACACGATAATGGTAAATATTTAAAATATGCAATTCAATTCCGAAAGCTCATATGAAAGATTGAGTAATTATAATAATTATGTTAATTTTTTTTAATTAAAGCAATTTTGAAACCTTCTGTGTCTATTGTATTAATTTAATTTGCAACAACTCTATACACATTACAATATTACTGGTTTAATTATTTTGGAAAATTTCAGTGTATTTTGTTCTACTGACATTGCAGTATATAAGAAAATTATTATTGACAAGATTAAGAAAATGACTCACTTCCACAGTAAACTTTACTTTTCGCAGTTTTGTGTACACGCAGAAAGCGCCTATTTTAATCATACCGCAACAAACATTCTTCGTTCATGATATATTCATTTTACCAATTAAGAGCTCAATTTATAGGAATTCGGTATTCTGAAATTTGAAAAAAAAAAAATTGTACGAAATTGGCTTGTACGATATTCGTAAAAAAAAAAAAACTTTCTTCTGATTTTTTAGAATCGAATTTAATCATTTATCTGCCTTAGACAAAATTGTGCAATATTTAAAATTAGAAGGAAATAACATTATGGAATACTGAAATAAACTGTAAGCCCAGAATGTTTTGAAACCTGTTTATAGCTGTTAGCAATAATTTATCATAGAAAAGTTATATGACGCATGTACAATTCTATGCAACGGTATATAATGGTATATTAAGAATGGGATCACGTTGTTAGTTATTAGATTAAATAATACATTTCTTAAATGGAAATTTTTCGGAGAGCTAAAAAAATTTCTTAAGTTTAATATCTTTTTTAAATTATTTAAATTTAGACTGCATGTTTCAAATATTTCTGCTCTTGTATTTTAAATTTATTTACAAATGACTAGTTATTTTTTTTAAATTATCATCTAAAATTAAAATGTTATCTTAAGGGAATATTATTATTCTTTAATAAGAAATCAATAAATTAGATTAATTCTCAGATTATTAAATGAAAAATTGGAAAACAAATTTCCTCTTAAATTTTAAAATTATCTCTATTTTCTTACTTTCATGCATTAATTTAGGATAAACAGTTTTTATTTTTATCAATATTGCATTATTATATTAGATATTAGATAAATACATGTTTTTTATATATACATATATTTAAAGCATATTAAAATATTCAATATGTAATATAAAGGTACTAGCAACATTAAGCGATTAATTTTTTTTCCCCCCTAAAACACAATTAATTTCAATATAAATAATTAAAAAAATTAATTTTTTCAAAATATTATTATTCATTGTACAAGACTACTAGAATGTTAGGAAGAATTATACATACATATGTAGGTTGAAAAAACTATATTTTATTTTTCCAGTAAATTGAGAAATAAAAAGAAGAAAGAGTAAAAGAAAATTATATTTTCACTAGAAAACTTAAAATAGAAATTTTATTAATTAAAAATTCATGATAAGAAAAACTTATTTTTCTGCAGTAAAGTGTTATAGTTTAAAAAAAATATATAAGAAATTTTCGAAAAATTTTTATTTTGTAATTGCTTTAGGAGAAGTTTCTTTCTTTCAAATATAAAAAAGTTTTCCAATTTATTGATTTCATTAAATTTTCTTGTACATACAACTACACTACACAAAATTACATATATGTAATGTATGCGTAATTGTAAATCTATAAATTTAAGTACTTGCATATAAAAGTGGCAATGGTATATATTGCATAAATTATGGAAAAAAATAAAAAATAAATTATAGAATGTTCTAAAATTATAGTGAAACTATTATAAAAACTTTCATTATACTCTTTCGAAACTTGTAACGCTGAAAATTAATTACATTGGTAAATAATTATTTAACATAATATTTATTTGCTATTAGATAACAAAAGTGTTTTTAAAAAAATATCAGTAATTTTTAATAAATAATTTTAATTTTTACATAAATTTTTTGAGTAAAAATATTTTGAGTTTAATATTTGAGTTTAATATTTTGTATATTGTGCATTAAAATATTTTTAAGTATTCTCTAATTAAAAAATTTGTGTTAAAGAAATTTGAAAACACCATGTAAAAGTATAATTTTCAAAAATTAAATTTAAAAAATTCGAATTTAATTACTTTAGAAAACATATTCTTTTTGTAATTGTGACATAATCTGAATATTAGACAATTTCGTTTTGGATGCGAGTGTTCGAAATTTTCATTGATTGAACAATAAAATATAAATGAAATATGCAAATTTATTAAAATTGCATTACGTTTTCTTTATGGGGAATTATTAACTTTGTTTATCTAAATACGAAAAATTTTCTATATGCACTTTTATCCCCAATTTTCTTATATCCCCAAATTTCATTCCAAACATTTATTTTTTCACTCTATCTATTTTTTGAGTAAATTTTGTTTCGGGAATTTCCAAATTTGTGTTAAAATGCATATTTGAATGCAATTTTCGCACGATTAGAGTACAAGTTGTTAAAAATGCAAAAAAAGTAAGTTTTATTCTAGTTCATCATATATATAGGCTATGGATCATAGATTAAATATAAAAAGAAAACCTATAATCCATACAATTCTCTTTAGGATTTTATTTTTCCTAAATTTAAGAAACAAATTTTTTATTTAACTACTAACAAAACGCTTAGGATTATAGAGTTGGTAAGCGTAGAACAAAGCATAACCAATTGTTCTATATATATACATATATCAATCACATTTCAATTTAAGAAACTATGAAAGGAGTTGAAAACAAAAATCAATCATTAAGAGAATATGTAAAATCATTATCTTTGTTTCAATTATATAATAAAATTCAATTAAAAAAAAAATGATATACAGAAGCATTTACGATTTACGTCATTTGTTCAAATTCTAGTTCATGTATTAACTACAAAATTATTACAAAATATAATATACAAATCATACATAATATTATATAATTACGTATATGTTTTGTACTGCACATGCAAGATAAACTTTTAATTTTTAAATAACTTGTCTTCTGGAATACTGGTTTTTTTTTTTTAGTACTTTTGACATTATCTGTAATGCGTCATCTATATATAAAATAAAAGTGTTAGAATAGAAATATTAAACTTTTTGAATATTCTACATATTATCTACATATATGTATATGAGAAGATATTTTTGGTTTTAATTTGTGAACTTTTCCTATCACCTATGCATATATGAATGTACTTTCAAAAATATCAAGGCAAATTTTTTCTATAAAGAAAATTATCCTTTATATAGAGAAGTTTAGAAATAATCAAAGAGAAATAACTTTTTAGTTTGAAAATTTTTTAAAACTATGTGCATATCTACTTATAATATTAATACAAAGTAGATATATATTATGTATATTTTTTCATAATGGTCTTATGATCTTCTATTTTTGGTATAATTGAAAATTTTGTAAAATGTTGGAAAATAATTTCAAGATGATGTAATTATTTGGTTATATTATATAATGTTCGTTTAGTTCTATTAATTTTTATAAGGAAATGTATTTGTAATATGAGAATTATAGATTTTTGTATTTGGAAAAGAAAAAAAATTTGCTAGATCACTAAATTGTTATTATTTGTCAGATTTATAGCAATCAATTAGATTGATTATAGTCAGATTATAGCAATGTTTAATTTTCGATTACAAACTGTAATTAGAAATAATACTAAACTGGACTCCAGACTTAAATTTGTAGTTACCATATAAAAATATGTAAAATGTTAGACTTTATCTGTCATTTTTATCTAGCTAGTCATAATATAGAGCGATTAGATGAATCAAATTTGTATATATAATATATACAAATTTGATTCATCTAAAATAGTGCAAATAAATTAAATTTTTAAAAATACAAAAAAAAAAAAAATATTAATTTAAAATTAATTTTATTTTCGTAAATAATTTTTATATATTCTATATTTTATTTCTCTTATATTTGTTTTTATTTACAGAAAGAAGAAATTCGAAAAAAATGTACTATTGAAGAATTTGCAATTTTCTTTTTAAATTTTGTGCGGAGTCAAACAGAAAAGTAAGTATTTTTTTTTATAATTCTTATTACATTTAATTTAATTTAGTCTTTGAATAAATTTAAATTAAATATTTAAAGTTTAAAATATTTCAAAATATATACACACAAATGCCAATTGAATTAGTTCCATCTTGATTAAGAGTGAAAAAATGAAAGATAGGCGGAATTTAGTATATACACAAACCAATTTGAGTACCAAGTTTCCGTACAAGCAATTTTATTCGCTAAGAAAAGCTTTCCTAAAATAAAATTTTAAAAATATTTAAGAACTCATAGCATTCTCTGAAAATATTTAGACACATTATGTAAGACACTGTATTATGTGAAGAGACCGCTCAATAATTTTGATTAACGTTTGCGAGATTCGATGCATTTAAAAGCTTAAAAAATTGGTGATTTTAACTTTAATTTAAAACCCATTTACTATAAATTAAAAAAGTACTAAAAATCAAAATTTACGAAAAAGTACTAAAAATCAAAATTTACGAAAAAGTACTAAAAATCAAAATATACGAAAAAAAAAACATGGCAAGTCAAATATCAAAGCCATTCATATTTGAAAACGATGTTTGACCTGAAATCTTTGATGTCAGGTTCATCCTAATATACACAGGCTATTTGGAGAATTTGGTATTTTCCTCAATTTTTTCTAAAGGTATAATTTGTGCGCCTTGATTTGATCCTTCAAGAATTTTAAAATTTAATTTTCACATGTGTTTTGTCAACACCATAAGATATTAAATTCAACATGTGTACATATGTATATGAATTGTTAAAAAATATTGACAATTTTCAGAATCTTTAAGAATGCAATAAAATCATTCCCTTTTTTAATCTTTTTCATTTGCTTATTTTCCACTTCAACATTAAGTGCATTTCTCCAAATATATACTTGAAAAGCCTCTTTAATAAATACTTATGTGCATTTTCAAACAACAAAATTAAATCAATTTTATTCAAATGCTCTTCAAATTCCTTCTTTAGATTAATTTTGAAAACGTTATGGAATTTTAGTTAATTTTTTCTTTTTATCTTTTGTTTTGAAAAATCTTTGAAAGAAAAGGAATTTTCTTTATGTATTATTTTGTTTTTTTGGTTTCTTTCACAAAAAATAAAAAAAAATAAAAAAAAGAATTATCCTTGTTCACCCCACCAATTAATTAATTTTTTCTTTCTTCCTTTTTTGTTTTGTTTTTAGTTTTTTTTTTCATATTGATATTATTGTGCACATCTCTTTAATATTTATTGAAATTTTATATTTATAGAAGAAGAAAGAAATAAAAAGAAGGAAGCTTATGTAGTATATGGAGTGGGAGAGAAAAAAAGTCAAAAAGAAAAAGAAAATTAAAAAATAAAAAGGGAAAAAATCACGCACATAAAATGCGCAAATCCCAATTAATTGCTTTTTCCATTTTCAAAGTCTCAAAACGAAAAACAAAAAAAAAAAAATAAAAGAAAAAAATTTCTCATAATTTTGATCCTTAAGATGTTTTTAGTCGGCGTCCATTGTGATTTTGAATCGATTTTGATTTATTCTCAATTATTTTTTTTTTCATCTTTATTCTTGTATCTTTCGTATAGACAAGAAGATTTACGTCTGAATCACCCCCTTAAAAATGATAAGGTTTTTTGACTATACTAGTTATAATATGTAATTCATATTTTCTTTAATTTATTTTGTAACGGTGATTCTCAAATTAATCCTAAGACCCCTTGAGATTCAGTTTAAGTATATCTAAGAATTTATGAAGGTAAAATATTAGTACACTGGTTGCGTATTGGACAACATTAATATTATATAGTAAAAATCTTATTTATTATTAATAAATTCGACTGGAATATTAAAGCTACAAATACGGTGGTATATTTTTTAAATAAAATTATATTGATTTAAGACCGAAAAATCTTGCAATAAATTGATCAAATATTAAAGTTCGATTGTAACTACATGTGAGTATGAAAGTTAAAATTGGGATTTATGAACAAAAAACATCGTAATTTTATTATTTGTGTACAAACGTTATGAGCAATTTTGTTAAGCAAAGCTTGGAAAGTTTAAAATCATTCGTAAATAACTTGAAGATGATACGTCAATATACACAAAAATAATACTCATATGTCTTAATCTTGAAGGCCACGAAGTATTTACGCTCTAATCAATACTCTACTCGGTCTTTATAGTATGTAATAAAATTTTATATGAGCGTATTACTTATTATTAATGCACCGTAAGAACCATATATCTCATGTTTTTCAAATATTTATGAAACAGAAAAATATTCACTTATATATATATATATATATATATATATATATATATATTAGCTTGGTTAATTGTTGGAAAAACTAATAAAAAGTGTGAAAATATATAAATTACTATTTTCGTAATTAAAAATTTTTTGTATACATAGTTCATCATATTATTATCGGATCTACCTATATTCTTAAATTACTCTTAGAAATTTCGAAATATTAGAGATATGTAATTTGAAAATGTAAAGCAGAGACAATTAATTAATAAAATTTTAAGAAATTCTAAAAAAAAATGGCACATTGGAGTAAAATATTGACTATGCTATAGAAAAAGGCTAGTCTTTACAATGATCTCTTTATAAATTATGTCGCTATAATGATTTACCGTGATTTCATATAATCATTTTATTATAGAGCCTTTTTTCGTACTTAATTATTTAATAAATTAGAATCTTTAAAAAATTAATTGAATCTTCAATTCCTACTCTAGAAATTACATTTAAAACTTTAAATACTCAATTTACGCCTCTCCTTTATACAATTTTCTTCTCAAATAACCTTTAAAATATCACAATTACCATTTACACATATTAATCACCTCCACATATATACCATATTATAACATTCATTCCAAAATTTAATAATAAATTCCTTAACTATACTTCAACCAAATTATTTGAGTATAAGCATCCTTAAATTAATTTAATTATGTTATGGTAAATGATATATGAATTATATTATGTGATATCTGAGAATCATTGGTTGAAATCATCTTTTATCTTTACGTCTATTTAACAATTATTGGTAACTATATGAAGATAAAAAAAAACAAAAATAATAATCAAAAATAAAATTTAAGTTATTTTTATTTTAACGAACATTGTAATAAATGGGTAACTGATGCAAGAAGATTAAAATTAAAGAGAAAAATAAGAAAGGAATTCAATAAAAAATTCAAAGAGAGTAACTAAATATGAAATTCATCAAAATTAGAAGGATATTAAGAAAAAGTATAAAAAAAAGAAGAAAAAAGGATATAAGTGAAATATAAATAGAAAATGGGGAAAGTTTTTTTTTTTTTTGATTATGATGCGTTCCTCTGTAAAAAAAAAAATTTTTTTTTTTTTTGCTGATTTGATTTCAGGTTTTCTTTTTTAATTTTCTTGTTGCTTACGATACGATATCATTAATGGTGGAAAATTTATTATAGAATGGGGGTTAAACGAAACAAAAAAAAAATGCCATTCAAAAGCAATGAGGGTCGTATATAAAAAGAATTAAATGTACAAAGAATAAGAAAGGTATAGGGAAGGGGTATTTAAAGACCAACAACACAAGAGCATTTAGTCTGTGTGCTTGTCATATTCTTTTAATTTTGATTTAGCCTCTAACTTAGAAACTTGTAATTTTATTTTAATTTTTCGGTCTTTGTTTTTTTCCTTCGTTTGCCTCTACATTATAATTTAGATTTTTTGTTTTTTTTTTTTTGTATTTCTTGGAGTGAAAATAATAAATTTGCATAATTTCTATCAAAAAAAAAAAAAAAAAGACCTTTTTAAATACAATTTTTAAACAAAAAAGAAGAAGAAGAAGAAAAACAAATAAATATGAAGAACAAAAAGCACGTGGGGTACAGAACGGTTATATTTTATTATATGTATACGTTTGGGGGAGTTGTCCTGATAAGCTTAAAGGTTAAGTTTCCAGAAGTTTATTCAAATTTCCAAATTATAGAGTAAATTGAATAGAACTCAATTTTGTGGTACAATTTTAGATCCGGCCTTTTTTTTTTTTGAAATTTTTGGATTTTATTATTTTAACAAATAATCTCGTTTTGCTGGGATTTTTAAAACTAAGACCGTATTTTTATATAGGAAATTTAACGAAAAAAATTTATTAGTTTTACCATAAATTATAGCTTAAAAATCGCTTATTTCCCTTAAAAAATTTTGCTTTTCTTACGAATTTGAATAATTTTGAACTTTGTATCTTCTTCTAATTTGGATTACAAAATCAAGTGGATTGCTGTTATAAATCTCAAAATTTGCAGCTCAAAATTTATTAACAGAGGTACCATTCCATTATTTTTTTTTTTGACAAAACTTAAATATCTTCTAAAACTTAAATAAACTTTCCAAATTATTTAAATACTTAAGTAAATGCTTTCCTTTTTAAACATTTTTCCTACGAGTATACGACTGTAACCGTACTTGAATTATCCGTCTATTTAACAATCTATTGACGAAAATATTCTATATACTTCTATTTTATTCAGGACATCAAAAATTTTTGGAAACTAACACTTTCGAATCCGAATTTTTTCAATTTCATTTTCTAATAAATTCTTGAATAAATTAAATTTTTTTTTTGTTTTTTCAATATTGCGGAATTGAAGCTTTTTTAATCCTTAAAAATTTTGATGAATAATTTTTTATTTTAATTAAACTTTAATATTAAATTATAAACGAAAAAGCAATTTTTGGAAAAAACACTTAAAAATGAGTTCAAAATTTATTAAAAATTTTAAAGAAAATCTTAAGAGAATTAAATGTTTATGCAAATGGAAGAAATTAAGACAAAAAGAAAAACCAAAAAAAAAAAGACGTTACCGTATTAAAAATGTGAAAACGCTTGGTTCTGTTTTCTCTTTTTTTTTTTTAATAGAGGGATGGAGTAACGTGAAATTTTTCATAATTTTCCTCAATTTTCTTTGTTTTCTATTTTTTTTTGTTCTTTTTTTTTTTCTTGTAAATTCTTCTCATACCATAATATTATTCTTTAAATTTTTTTCTTTAAAATAAAAATGTTTTTTTAATTCCACATAAAAATGTGAATAAAAATTTGTTTATTTTTAATATACATATATATACATATTTTCTTACCATGTCCACACACACATACTCAGTTATATAATAAAAATAATATTTTGTACATCGTTGTTTTATATAATCTCTTGTTTCCGGGGAGTTGATTATTGTAATATGCATTACTAGCAATAATATAAATGGTATATAAAACACTATAATAATTTAACATTAAAAAAAGAAAAGAAGGAAAACAAAAAAATATACTGAAGGGTTCCAGGATATCAAATGGAGACGCTACAATATAATTTACCGTACTTGTATGAACTACCCCGTCGCTCATAAATATACTTGGAATATACGTACCATATATATATTTATATATATAAACCTACATAAAAAATTTCTTTATTTCTTATTTTTCTAATTTAAATTTATCAGAACATGCATCTGCGGTCAAATTAATGTATTATTGTTATTATTGTGCGACTCGATATTTTTATGATACATAGATCATAAAACAAATCCTTAAAATAGTCTTTATTGTACGAGTATAATACGAGTAGTATGTATAGATTAGTATAGTCATATATTTTTGAGTTACACAAAAATAAAATCTTGGGTTATAAAGATAAAACAGTAAAACAAAAGTTTAAGGTTAATTTCTTGAGGGTATTTTTTTAAAAAGATTTTTATAATTTTATTCACAAAATTTCTAAAATTCATTTTATATGCTTTTCGAATGTATGAATGTGTATGAATATGACTAACAGGAAGAGGTTATGATTTATAATAGAGATAAGATGCCATAAGTGCACTTGCAGTCTTGACTATTTTTTAAAAATTTTTAAACAAACGACCATATTATAATATTATGTATGATAACGAATAATGTGAACTCAAAAATGTAAATATTTTTATTTTGGCAATCTATACATAAATCTAATACCGAATTATGCGATATAAGCATCAAATATAAAAATTATAGCCTATAGTGAATTTAATTTTACAATCGAAGATTTTGGTTTGGTTTTTATGTAATTTTAAAAGAAAAGATTTTAAGTTGATTGGTGAGAGGTGAACACAAAATCTTACCATTTTTTTTTTTAACAATCTGAATTCTTTAAAATCCCTTATAATTTTTACATTTATTCAATGAAATTTGAAGTAAAATTTTAATTCGCTTTTGATGTGAAAAAAAAAAATCCTCTAGTATTACTTATTAGCAAAAAAATTTCTGTCCCATTAAAGACTCTTGTTTATTTAGAATTTAGAAACTTTTATAATAAATTTGCTTTCATGAATTACATACTTATCATATTGTAGTTAGGACATGGGACTCCTCTTGTGTTCTAGCCTATTTTTTACTTGAAACTGCACAAATTCATGGCCAATAATCAATTCAGCATTTATTTTTGAAGAGTTCATGCAACATTTTTTGGATAAACATAAACTTTTTCTTTCGTTTTTTGTGTTTTCTTTTTTTAAATTTGAATAAATATATACCATTGCTGCTACATACCATTTCATAGATCCTCCTGAGTAAACAAAACTTTTATATTAGACGATGATCACAGCTTAGCAGGTTCGGAATAGCAATGTTTTAAAGTCAATCTCCACTCATACTTTTTTTTTTTTTTTAAAACTTTAAGTATAATTCCTTGTGAAAACTTTAAGTATAATTCCTTGAATTCCTTGCATTATTGAATATAATTTGGGAACCTCAGAATAAGGGCTTCGAAATAGCTAATATAATAGATAATAGCAAATATCTATAGAAAATTAAAGTTTAGAAATATGCAGATATTTCAGAAAATTGCGAACGGTATCAAAATTGAGTCGTGAATACTGAAAATTCAAAAATTTTTAACACTTTTCTCTAATCCATTTTGTGAACTGAAACCGAAACTATAGATAATGTTCCAATAAATTTTTTTTTTGCCTTATAAAAAATTAGCCATAATTTTGAGAATGCTGATTTGAATTTTACAACTGATAGTTACTCCATTATATTGCTATAGACTAGTATATTCCTCACTTGACTTTTCTATATTTGAGGAAAAATGACAAATGAGTACATATATACATAGCCATTTTATTATATTTTAATTACAACATAAATTTTTATAAATTTGATTATACATACATACATATATGTATGTAATTTTTTTCATACAATAAAAACTAATCATAAAATTTTCTCATTATGTTAATAAAATCTTTAAAATCAATGGCATCATCACCATCAGTATCAACTTCAGTAATCATTTCTTGTAATTCTTCTTCACTTATATCTGCATTAAGATAAATAGCAGCTTCTCGTAAATTATCAATAGTAATTTTATCAGTTTTATCGTCATTTTGTAATAAACGAAAAGATTTCATTAAATTTATTTTCGTATCTTTTTCAAAAATTTTTTCATGCATTAAATATAAAAATTCAGTAAATGATAATTTTCCAGTATTATTTTTATCAACATCATTAATAAATTTTTGTAATTCCGATTTTTTTGGTTCAAAACCGAGTGCACGAAATATTACTTTTATTGAATTTACTTCAATACAACCGGTTCCTAATGAATCAAAAAGATTAAAAACAATTTTCAGATCATCTTTTTGCTCTTCAGTGAATTCATAACGTATTTTTAAAGATTTTTTCTTAATTAGTGGTGAAATAATTGAATTTTTTTTAATTAATTTTTTATTCGAATTATTTGGGAAAGTTGACATATTGGATTTTCTATTTTTTATTTCAATTAATTGAGAAAATTGTTTTAAATTTGTTTTGTATGTTTATTTGAAATATGAAATAATTTTTTTTTTTTCGTTTTGATTGTGGTTGACAAATCTGCTTTGCTTTTTAATAGTTTGAAAGTTTTTGTAATTAATTTTATGATTTGAAAAACCTCAGTTTTCAATGTTGTTATAAAGAATAATATAATATTTTTGTGGAACAGAGAAAATGATATTTTTGATAAGTAATTCCTTTCATATTTTCACTATTAAAATTGAAAAAATTAATTTGTATATTTTTCAACAAAATATATTTTAAATTTTAAATTTCAACTAAGATTCTTATAAATTTTTCATCATAAATTTCTTTAAAATATTTAATATATTTCAGATTTGTTCGTGGTAATTCATCATCCTGTGATACACCAAAAAAAAACTTAACTTCAATAAATCAATCAAAAAATTCCATAATACCTTCATCAACGGTAGAAAATAAAGATACAAGTACAACGAATACGACACCAATTCGAAATGTTACTTCAACTTCTGTAGCACTTCATAAACAGTTTGAATATAATATAACACCAATTACAATATCAACTGGAAAATGTAGACTTTCATTAAATTCTTTTGATGAATCTTTATTAAGTAACAAAACTACTTGTATTGATGATAGTTTCAATTCTAATGGTCCAAATAATAATTCAGAAGCATCGAAATATCATAAAATCAATTTAAAATTTGAAGAAGAAAATTTAATTACTAAAAAACAATTTAATTGTAGTAAAGATGACGATACAATAAATATTCAAGAGCAAATAAGATCGGAGTCATGTCAAGATAAAAAAAAACTAGTTTCAACAAACAAATACGATAACATTAACAATAATTTAAATTTTTCCAAAATGAAAAGTACAAGTGATAAAAATGTATATTTAACGGAATTGGGATCAAATGATTTCCCAAAGTTAGATAAGAATTTAAAAAGTAATACATCCACCCCAATTAGAAAATTAAATAAATCTGGAAGTAGTGTTACAAATTATAATTCAATAATAGCAAATTCTAATAGTGCTGACAGAAGTAATATTCCATCTAGTGGGAAAAGTAATAAGAGTGGAAAATCTTCAAGACACAGGTAATTTTATTTTCGTAACTTAATGATTATTTGTGAAATTTTTTAATTTTTGTTTTTTATTTTTTTTTCATTTTCTAACAAACAGTAATCCTTCTACGCCTACAGGTGGTAGTAGTAGTGGAAGACCAAAATCATCTCCATTGTGCCTAGGTGATTTTTTCACATCACTAACATCTACATCATCATCTGTACAAAAACAAAAAAATCAAAATAAACGAAATTATAATAATAATAAAGAATCAACACCACGTTCAACTAACAACGATACAATTAATGATTCTAGTTTAAATAATACTATACAAAAAGAGAAATCTTATAAACCCAGACGTGTTATACCTACTCCAGTTAATTTAAATGATTCAGAAAATTTTATATCAAGTTTTTCAAGTCCAGCATTTCGAAATATAAATGAAGGCAATATAATGAATATATCAAAAGAAGAGATTGTAGATAAAAATAATTGTGTTATATTAAAAGATCGTGCTAAATTAAAATCAGAAATGCATAATATAGTAAAGGAATTCGCTGAAGAGAAAACATCTGATAATATACGCCAGAATCGTATAAAAACTTCATATGATGTAAAATTTTGTAATTTATTTGAAACACCAAAAAAATCATCATGTGGACCAGATCAAAAAACGTTAGAAAACAATTCAGATTTCAATACACCAATTAAATCAAATGAAAATTTAATTTTACCTATGGAATCTGATATAACTGATATTAATAATGAAATAAGTATTATTTCGTCAATTGATTTTAATAAGATAACCAATAAATTTATATTAAATCGTTTAATTGAAATCCATTCTGCTTTAATTGAATTGAACTTAGTTACTAATATTTTAAATGAGTTTACGTACCTGATCAATTTTTTTAATATTGATATAAAAGAATTCGTAAATTTCTTAGAGTTACCTACAAATCTTCCAACCACAGAAATAATTGATACACCTTCTCTAGTCGTAAAGCAAAAAAGTGATAAATTAAAAATTACTGACGAATTAAATCAAGATATTTTAATAGATCAAATACATCAACCACAACCAGAAAGCAATAAAAACGCTGATTTCGAAAAACCTATTTCAAATTTAAATTTTCATAGTGATATTGATAAAGCTATAAAAATTGAAGAATTATTATTAAACAAAGAAAATGAAAAAGATTCTACAGGAAATAAAATAAAAATTACACTGCCTGAAGAAATGAAATTTCAATTATCTTCCACATCAACTATCGATTCAAAATTAATTACTCATACAATGAATGATACAAATCCTGAACTTGTACTTAAAAATTTCATTAACTGCCTTTTTTATTCTTTGGGTGTATTAAAGAAACAAAGAAACCTCTTAGCATTATTAGACATTGCAACTTTACGAGTAATACTTGATAATGAATTGTTAAAAATTCTAGGAAAAGATTTAAGAGATTTCTTACAACAAATCTACAATATAAAATTAAATATTGAAAATACAAGACCAAAATTAGAATTATCCACGAAAATCAATAATTGTGGTAATTTTTCTAATGTATCATATCAACCTGATTCAGATACCAGTAATAATTTTACATCATTGAAAGAGAGTGGAGCTTTTAAAAAGCAAAGAGACTTATTTTATGTGATATTAAGGTAATGTAAATTTATATAGAAATTCATTAAGTATAAAAAAGCGAAAATAATTTAATATAATTATTTTTATAGAATTTGGGAAGCGAAACATTTAAGTGAAGATTGGAATTTTCAAATATTAGAAAATAAAATTCAAATGCTTATGTCAATATCAGAGAACCCTATTAATATGGCTCATTTAGCAAAATTATTTACTTCTCAACTTATTATTTCATTAAATTTCACTGTAAGTTCTCTTACATTTTATGTTTTTCCAGTTTTTTCTGATTTTTAAAAAAAATATTTGTTTTATTTTTTTTTAGGAACCATTAACTGATCTAGATCTCGGATTATCAAATATTGATATGAATAAATTAACAAAACTACGTCAACGTTTAGTAACACCTAGTCATTTTAGCCAAGATTATCAGTTTCCTGCAAATCAACAATTTTTTAAAGATTTTGTATTAACGGCACAATCTGTAATTTTTATTGAACAATTGAAAATTGCATTAGTATCAGAATTATTAGAATTAAATGATTCTACTTATGAAAGTATAGATTTAGTTAGTAAAACAATGGAATATAATCAGAATCAGACAGCAAGTACTAATAATAATCAAGATAATGAAGAAACTAATAGTAAAGAGGGAAGAACTAATGAAATCATTACTTTTAAAGAACAGGAGGGTACATCTCAAACAGAATTTCATGAGTACTTGGTAAAAATTAATAAACATAATTTTTGAATATTACATCTCATATTATAAAGTTATAATGTAAAAAATTACATTTCTTATCATAAATGTAGTTTCAAAAAATAATTATTGTGTTCTTCATTGATTTTTGTGAAAAGAAATGAACAGGAATTAAAATTAAAAATTAAGCTCTTATCATTTATAAAAATTGATTGCTTACTAATTTATCAATGTGTATGGAAAATAAATTATGCTATAACTCTGATTTATTTGTAGGTTCGCCCGGAAATTATTTCTACAATGCGAGTACTTGCAAAATTTCTCGCTCTTTTAATATTCCGTCTCCATCATTATGAAGGAAATAGGAATTCTCTAGCTGATAATAAGCAAATTGAACTAAGAAATATGGTAAATATTTATAAAATAAGAAAAAAATTATTTGAGATTAAGTTTAAGGAAATATCTCTATGAAATTTTTGTAGGAGTTTTTGTAAAGAATATGCAATCTCTTCCAAAAGTATTTTTTTTTTATTTAAATGGGATCTTTTGCCTTTGTAATCTACATAATTGAATATTCTTACAATATTTGCTTTGTTAATTTATTCCTTATTAATTTTTAAAACAAATTCTCCTTGTACATAAAATTTACAATATCAAAAACTAATATGAGAACATAAAATTTTTTATATTTTAGTTGAGACCGGAATTCGATGTATTCGGAATTCTTAAAACATCAGTGTACAATAGAAGATTAATTATAACATTACCTTGGGTAATAGAGTTTTTATCAATATTGGATATTGTAACCTTAAATTTGGATTATTATCGTGCAATGATAGATTATCTATATGAATTATATATGAAATTATCATTTGAAAATGGTTATAATAATGAAAACTATTATCAAAATACTTTCATCGTTTTCAATAAAAATTCGGATGGAAAAAATAGTACCGAAATAAATAATTCATCAAAGCAAAATCGAAACATCGATATAAATTTACAAAATTTAAGACCAACCACAATCTTTATATTAAAAACATGCCTCGGGTGGTTGTTTGAACAATTAAATAACATAGAAAATTATTATACATATAGACAAGCTGCCTCCATTAAAACAGAGAATATACAAATTGAACCAGAACCAATTGTAGAAAATCAAGATAAAACTTTCTTCAATTGCAATAATAAAAGCGATAATTTAAGGTTAGATAAAACCAAAATCAGTCAATCAAATAAAGAAGAGATTGATGATAAAGTTGTATCTGAAAAAAACTTTTCTTCGATTTCAGTCTCATCCACATCATCTTCTAATGTTAATTTATCTACGGAAACTGCAGTAAATGGTTTAAATGTTGGAAAAATTATAGATACTTTTGATCCACTTTTAGAAAATATTTTGAACGTATCGTGCCCATTTTTAGCAGATTTCCGAGTTTCAATTATGCCTACAAAATTATCAAAAAGTTTGTCACGTACTGGTCGTTTACGACATGTTACTACGAAAATGTTATCAGATAATAAAATAACAACTGTAATGTCAAGTGTCACAACATTACCATCATCACCAACAATTGTTACAACCCCAGCTGTTACACCAAGTTTTCATCAGTTAGATAAATCTGTATTGCTCTCATCGAACAGGAATGAAAGTTTAAATCCAAAAATGGAAAAAAATTCTCAAACAAAATTAATTGAAGCATTCTTGCATTCACAAAGTTTATCTGTTAGGCGCATTATTGAATTTGTAATTGAGAGGACAACATCAGCAGTAATTAAAGATTTTCAAATGGAAGTCATCCTAAAAAGCAAAACGGAAGCAAATATCGAAATAGATAAAATTTTATGTTCCGATACGGTAAAACCTGTGGTAAGATGAATATATAAAAATTAAGAATAGTAGAATTTTTGTCAAAATTTATAATATGTATTTTTATTTCATTTTAGATAGTTTTAAAAAATGAAATGATTAAAATATTTGAAAAGGCTTTGGCGAACGTTAGATCGCAATGGGATGCTATAATAGAAAATATGATACAAGTTCGAGTTGAAGTAAATCAATATTTCTCTGTACTAACAACAATTTTTATTTTTCTTAATTTATTTTTTAACTACAGAAAGCTTTAGATTCCCTGCTGCCTAATGAAACATTGCCGGTAATAAAATCAACTTGTGCGTCTATTATAATACAGAAATGTAAATTAAAAACTGAAAGCTGGAAACAATCAAGCCTTACTATTCAGAATTTTTATTCCAAAGATATTGATAAATTTTTACAAAATTTTTCTGCTAGAAAAACTGAACAATCTACTGAATTAAGGATTGATTTGAATCAAAATATACTACCATCTGAAATTCTGTGTAAACTGCAATTTTGGCTGCATGCAACCAGTAGACGAGATGAATTTGTTAATGAAATTGATTTAAAGAAATTTTGTGATGACTTACTGCTAACACTAAATGGTCATATATTGCCAACAAGTTTTTATAAAGTTTGTGGAATAACTACTGTTATTTTAGTACAAAATCTGGGTAGAAACATTTTTAAGAAATTATTTCAAATAGTTTTTAATATTTTTATTTAAATTTTAGTTTTAAAACATTCCAATATTTTTACGGATAGTCTTGTGCAAAAATTCATTGATATATGGTATGTTGATAAAATGCTAGAATTTTCTCAAGTGGAAGATCCTTTAATAGTTAAGAAAAATATTAAAGGGGATAGTGAAGAATCTTCACAGTCGGAAAAATTATCAGAGGATAATAAACAAAATAAATGTATGATTTGTTAATTTTTATACAATAATTTTAAGCTTATAATTTATTGTGATATTCTTAAATTTTTGTTTTGGTTTCTCTTTTTATTTTAAGATAATATATTTGACTCGTACTTTGGTGAATCATTTTTAAAACCATTATGTGGTTCGAAATCCTTAGAATCAATTGAAAAATATGCCAGTATTACTGTTAATATTATTATTAATAACTTGCTTACGATATCATATGTTAATGATAAATTTGTGTCACTTTTTAAACAAGATTGGAGACCTGTAAGTTAATGATATTTATGAATATTTATCAAAAAATTCTGTTAGTTAAAGATATTAAACATAATTATATTCTTTATTTTTATTTCAGGAAGAATATGAAAATTTAAAAAATATTTTGGAACGCATAAGTAGTAATACTCAAATTAAGAATGTTACACATGATGCGGATGATAGTAAGTCAAGTTTATTTATGGAAATGTTATCTGACTTATTAAGAGATATAGACGATTTTTAAATGAATTTTTGTTAATGTACGACTTATTAAATATTTAAATACATTATTCAATTTATGAAAAAAATTCATAATAATAATACTTAAAAATATATTTGTTTTTTTTTTAATAAAGTGACCTCATAAAAAGTTTTCTATAGTAGTAATTCAATTTGTCATAGGTAAATTTATATAGAATGTTCGTTTTGGATTTAAATATATAGTCTATATTAAATGTTCTTGAAAAACAAAAAATGTTTGCAATTTTTAATTATGATTACCTAAAAACAATAAACAATATTTATGTATTTGTAAAATATTGAAAGAAAATTTTATTATAGATACTCTAAAACTGCAAATTGTATTATTAATAAATTCTAAACCTAATTAATATTGATTTTTTTTATAATTATGTAAAATTAAACATATACATAGTTTTGTTTTAAAACTATTACTTCTTGTAACAGATTTAAAATATTTGATGTAATACTAGTTTAAATGAAATTGATATTATTTTTTAAATGGTTTCTTATAAAAGAAACAGAGTCATTTAAAATCGTTAAAGTAGAAGTTTTTTTATGTTAACAAAAATAATATTAATGAAATTTGAAATTTATTTTAAAATTTTTATTTTTATTAAAAATTGTATTTAGTGTATAAAAAATAAAATTTTTTTACTAAATTAAATTGTATATAAAATCTATGTAATTGTTTGACTTTTTTTTAACATATTCCTGGACCAGTAGGTGGTTGAGCTGGAATTCCTCTTAAAATCATTCTACACGTATGTTCTTCTAAACGTCTTTTAGCATCAATTTCATCACGTATAAATTCTTGTGACCAGAGACGTTCAGCCGTTGCTGAAACACGTGGAAATATTCTTTGAACAACATTGTTATTGTTCACAACTTCAGACCACATACATGCTTCTCCGCCTAGTACAAGTTTTTTCTGTTCATTAGTTCCATTGAAATTTTCTGGTTCGCAACGATAATACTTTAACCAATCACCACCAGTGGACAAATGATCTAAATACCAACATTCGCTAAGTAACACATGATGACCAGCATTAGTAAATTCACTAAAAAGTTTTCTCCAATCACCTAACCAAACTTGAACAACTGTTCCTTCTGGCATATTAACGTTTTCGACCATAGCCTAAATATTTTTTTAATTTAAAAAAATCAATATTATTTATTTGATTGCTTTTATTTAAAAAGTTTTATACTTCTTGCCAAACAATTGGGTTGACGGAGTTATTTGTTGCCATTCGTGTAACTTTTTCCATGAATTTCTTTTGTAAATGAGTATAAGTTAAATTATTTGCTTTTGTATAATTTCTAATAGTAGAATTACTATCCCAACATTCAAAACCAACTTCATCCCCACCCAAGTGCATGTATTTATCGGGAAAAACTTGAACAATTTCTCTAATTTTTAAATAAAAGAAATATTAAATATATTTTACCAAAATCCAATTTGCAATAATCTCACTCAATAAAATTTTCCATGAATTTATAAGATTCTTCAGAAATTGGATCCAATGGTCCCAATTTACCCTTGTAAGGTTCACCGCATTCAGTCAACAACTCTGGATGTGAATTTCCCCATGATCTTGTATGTCCTAAATTTTTATATAAAAAAAAAAAACAGTTTTCATCTTTTCATTTTCGTGTGAAAACATAAAGTTAAAAAAGGATTTGTTTACCAGGAACATCGAATTCAGCTATAACACGTATTCCTCTTAACCGAGCGTATTCAATAACACTAGCTACATCATTTTGTGAATATACCATATCAGGTAAATAAGCTCCTTTTTCAGATAATTCTGGATATTTTATGCTTTGATATGGAAACGAATGATCGTCTACTATATGCCAATGAAAAACATTCAATTTATTATAAGCCATACCATCCAAAACATCATAAATTGTTTTCATTTCCATAAAATGTCGTGATGTGTCTAATAAAAGGCCACGATGAGGATAACGTGGAGAATCGCGTATTCTTACATCACGAATTTTTAACTGCAATAAAATTATTAAAACATTTAATATTTTACTTCAAATATCAATTAAATTAAAATGTACCAGGCCATTATTAGCTGGAGTAATTAATTGTGAATAAGTTTCCAAACCTCGAAGAATACCCCAAATAGAATGAGCAAGTATATTACCTGATCCCGATAAATAATCTGAGAATATTAAATAGATTTTTCGTTTATCAAGAATTTTAATTACTTTAAGTAAAAATTACTTACACCATTCATCCATTGTTAAATTTGGCATAAATTCACAAGGTGATGTTAAATTAATTGTAATTTGTGTTATTGGTTTGTTGTGATAATGGTAATTTGTTAAAGTTGATCGTAAAATACTTTTTACAGTATTTTTAATAATATTTTTATAGCGTACTACAGCATCTTCTAATATATCACATGTTCGTCCAATAACCTTTCCAAATAATTATTAAAAAATGTTATTTTTCTATTTTTAAAATATTTGTTTAAATAATTAAGTGTTTAAAAATGAGTTAAGAATTAATTGTTTAAAATTATTTTTAATTCTTACACTGAAATCAAAATTATCTGGATCAATAACAAAATATTTAGGAGTTTTTTGTTCAAATTTTGGTCTTGGCCAAACTTCACCTATGAAAATTAAATGAAGTTATTAATTAATAAATAATTAATTTATTTTTAGGTTTTATAAAATATTTACCATTCGTTGCTTTTATTTGTGGACCAGGATCAATAATGTATCCAAAACTAGTATTATTTTCAAATGCAATTAATAATAAAAGTGTTATAGCTATCGACTTCATCATTTGCTTATTGAATGTTTATCTACAGAAAAATAAAATTTCAATTAAAGATTAAATAATTTCAAGCTTATTAATAGTGTTTGATATTAAATCTAAATTGTTCAGTTTTTTTCTAATCATCTATTTTAGTCATATTCTAGACTTCTGAAAAACTTTCTCCAAATTAGTTTAAAAATTACAAAAACAATAAACGTATACTGAATACTACGTTTTATTCTTAATTATACAAGTAGCTAAAATCTGAATACTTGAAATATGAATACTTTTAAGCGGTCATTTTGTTTACTAGATAACTTTCTTCACAACAGAGAACTGTAGATCTGATAACAATCATTACTATACATAACAGTATTACAGTTCAGCTTCTTATTATAAAATTGTAACATTTCGGTGTTTTTTTTCTTAATGTTATTTTAATTTATTATCAGATTCATGGTGAAGAATATGTGTACAAAGTAGTTATTGAATTAGCAATTAATTGGGTAATTTAATTGGGTATTATTAAGCCCTAAATAGATAAATCACTAGAACAGATAATCAGGCTTTTCAGATAAACTAGACAACTAGGTTAATATATGTATAATGTATGTAAACCGTATGTGTATGCGATATAGTTTTAGGTCACAATAAATTTATATCTCAATTTTTTCAAGAAATCAAGATCTCTAATATAAAGAATAACACTATTAATAATAAAATTCTAAGACTATTTTTATAATACTTGTTGTATTTAATATTTTTAAATTAATTAATTATTTTTGATTTAGAAAAATTATTTTTATTTATTTTCCGCAACTTTTTAATTTTGTTATATAATAATGTAACATACAATTTAATATAAAGAATAATTAATTTATATTTAAATTTCAATATTTAATAAATTTTTTATAATTCAATTATTTTGATCATCATAAATTATATGCACTATTTGAAAACTCATGAAAATTAATATTTTTTATTGCCATATTTTAATTTTATAGATTTTTTTAAATTTCATCAATATATTTTTAATAAATATAGATAAAACACTTCACTGTTCAGATAAAATTTTTCAGCGTTCTTGAATTTTTTATTTTAAATCAATAGCTTATTTGTATTTTTTAATTCTTATTTAAAATTCAATTTTTAAATTACGATATTAAAATTCTAAACTCTTACCACAAAATTAAAATGAAAAAAATTTTATAATATATAGAATATTATAGTTAAAATACTAAAAAAAATAATAAAATTTTTGCGAATATCACCGAATTTACACAGTTTAACACAAATTAATAGAATAACCCGATTTAAAAATTACATTTTATATTTAAAATAAAAATTTTATTATTATAAATTTTTTGATTAATCAAATATCTATATATATACCTTTATATATATGTACGTTTGTATAATATACTTGAATTTATGCAAGCGTACATGTGTATAGCACTATATAGAAACTATTATACAAGTATATTTAATTAATCTATAATAATAAGCACTGATAATACCACCTTTTTCATTTAACTATTCGATTCTGATAATATTCAAGTGAAACAAAAATTTTGTTCTCATGTCATCATTTGTTAAAAAGAAAACAAAAACAAAAAAAAATAAAAAAATTTACTATGTTTAAATATCAAATTTAATTAAAGTCCCCAACTGTTTTGCCATAAATTCATAATTTCTATACACTTAGTTATATTCTCGTGTGACTTCCCTTTTCATTTAATTTTATAAAAACTCTATAATAGTATAGATAGAAAACATAGATCTTATAGAAGAAAACATTATGTCTAGAATAATTTGTATACAAGGTGATTTAGTTTTTTTTTTATTCTAAATAAAGGCTCAGGCAGACATGAAATTTTTAATTTTTCAACTGTTTAGCAAACGCATATACAATTAAGCAATCAAACAATTTTTAATTTTTTAACAAACTGATTGCAACTTTTAGTTAATGCAATCGATTTAAATTAACGCAATAGTTTATAGCTGCTTTCAGGTGCGCGCAACCATATTTTACAATCTAGTGTAATTGTAAAACTAAAAATTGCATGGCGGTCTGAGCCTTAACTCATTAAAAATAATTAATTATAAACATAAATAAAGTTGGATAAAACCAATAATTTTTAAAGAAGCGTGAAAATAAATTCGTTGAACTAGTGAAAATAATGCTTTTAAAGCAAAATATTTCAATTTATTGCATACATTTTGGATGAGCAAAAGAAAAACATTGAAAGAAATGTTAATTAACGTTATAAAGGTAGAATTTAACGGTTGAGTAATAAGTGAATTAAGATAAAAAAATTATACTTTTTTATGGGATGGGATTTACCGTTGCTTTTATTTTATGTTTTTGCTTTTATAAAAATTTGTAAAAGCCTGCAATTTTGGAAATATGAGGCGATAACAATTCACATTTTACGAATTTCGAGAGGCAACTAACGAAATGTGTAAATTATTTTTAATAGTTTATTAATGTCTATAAAATTTCAGCCTCCCACAAGTTCCTATCTAGAAGAAAAATAATATCAAATGTGTCTCAGATACTCATTAATTTAACTGTTAATTTTGTAAGTAATTTAAAGTTTTCGGCGCATGTCAACTCGTTTATCGCTGCTATTTGACGAAATAATTTTGTAAAATAATTGAAGTAAGGTATCTATAAATTATAATCTAATTTTAATGCCCCTGTATAATATAGTACAGACATAAATTTATTAAACTTTATGTATAATATTGTATGTATGTATGTATATTATACGCATAACATTATATAGTTTAGTAACGACAATTACGCTACTTGATTGAATAAAATTATTATTTAATGAAATTGTAGACAAACATTAAATGTAATTTTTTTTGTTTTTGATTTTTTCATTTTAAATTTTAGACCTCAATCACAAAATTTCTTTCTAAAAGCTTTTACTCGTATCTCAGTTTTAAAGAATCTAATGTGACATTTTCCCCTTAAAACATCTATTATTTTGTCATTTGTGATTTCTTATAATATAAATTTATAAATGTAGATAGAAGGTTGATCAAAAAGTATCCTTTTAAATTTTCAATATATTTTAACAATGTTAATATGAGTTAGGTTTCAATATAATTTTTGGTAAATGGTATTTTACTTTGGTATAAATTGTTTGAAATGGTAATGAAGCTCAGAGAAGATGATAGTATGGTGAAATTTTTAATTTTATTCTATAAAATTTTATTAAATTAAAATTTGAGTCTCATTTGAGCAAGTAAAAAAAAAATATTTCATATGCTAATAAATTGGAAAGGTTATCAAAAAGTAAATTAACTAAGATTGAAAAACTAAGGATTTTCTAAAATTCTATATGCTACGAGTATAATAATTTTTTGAGTATTTTTCTAAGTATTTTTCAGGTTATGTTAAAATTCTTTACACATTCGTTTACAATTTTTAATTATTTGTAAGATTTTGTGTTATAAAAATATCAGGTTATTTATTATGGGAATTTGAATTTTTAAATCAGTGTTACTATTCAACAATTTAATAAATTACTTACAATATCTTGAAGTGTTTATAAATTTTAATTTAAATGATTAAAAAACACTTAAAATTTAATAATATTCTAATAATAAAAAATAAAGTATGTTGTTCATAAAATTATCAATTAATATCAATAGGTAATATTTTAAGACTATATAAAAAACTTTTATTAAAATAAGCTATATTAACCCTTTTCTGCTATAGTAGTAGTATAACAGTTTGTGTTGTATTATACATAGCTAATTTTGCTATTAAAAGTATTAATATATCACCGACTGAATATTTGAGTGCAGAATTTTTATAGGATGCAAACGCGTATTGGACACTATATTCAGGTATTCAGCCGGTAACATAGGGTTTTTTTTTGATTTACAAAGAAATTACGAAAGGAATAGCTGTCGAAAAAATTTCGTACTGTGATCAATATTTGATATTTGCAAATCGTTATAAATAGATTCAAGCTTGAGCAAAGCAGCACCAAATTGGAAAAATTCTATTTTGTCTTAGTGGATCTGTTAGTACTAAAACTAATGATTTCCTCAAAAATGACTCCAGAAATCACTTTATATGCAACGTATTCCCAGTTATAGCAGAAACAAATCATTTAACAAAAAACAATTGTAATCATGAACAAAATTTTTAAAACTTATTCACAGTTCTTTGTATACTTTTGCATATTGTACTATTTAATTTTAATGTTACTTGATTATGTTGAGATTATGTTGTTACTATATGCTTACACGTAGCTATAGTATTCTTATATTTCTATTAGAAAATTTTTTTATTTTAAAAAAAATATAATTTAATAATAAAAATTTATTCATGTATATTTAAATTAATTAAATGGTCATTGCACTAATGTGACAATATTATGTCGGGTGCAATTTGCATTGTTTTTGTTTTCCTTTTTTTTTTGTTTTTGCAATAAATTCTAAATTGATATGCACTTGTACCTTATACATATATATAGGTAATATGATTTAATATGTGTTTGGCATTCAAAAGAAAGTGAGACTTTTTTTATATTTATGATAGCATAAATAGATATCTGCAACAATATAAACATATTAGATCTTAATTATAGACCATGTATCATTTAAATTTTTGAGATAAATGTGTAGAAAAGTCCTTTGTAGGTGATTCAGATATTTGATATCAGAATGGAGTAAGATATTGGACAATATTAGAAATAGGATTTTTAATCTACAATTTTCATTCATAATCATGTATTTATATATGTTCTTTAATTAAATTGCAATGTTTTTTAATATGAAATTAAAATTTTTGATATGTTCTACTAAATTAAAACATATGATTTTAATATTTATAAATTAATTGTAAGGTTACTATTGATATTCTGGTAGATTACGATCAGGAGTGCGTGCTTTAGGAAAATTATAGGGTTGGAAAGAAATCAGATGAGAATTCTCACCGGTGGCATCTTGATTAGACTGGGTCTAGAAAGTGAGGAGGGCCTGAAGATTTTGCGAGGAAGAAGAATAGGCTTCGGTGCGTAT